ACCTTGACCCCACCACCGTACTCGCCGAGGCCTGGCGATGCTTTTTCCCACCTCAATTGAGCGCTAGCGCCGCTGTGGGAGCTCGCCGATGAGCTCACCATTGGCGGGAGCACGCCGGGGGAGGAAGCAGAGGAATTCCCCTCATCGGCCACACGCACATGCACCCGGTGCACGTAGACCATGCCCAAGGAAAGAGAAATAGACTCGGTCCACCGAAGACCCAGCCTACGGTCTATGGACCGTGAACACAAGTCCACCGTGAGCCACGCGGTGTGGGCCGATCTATGAACCGAAGCCCAATGGAGGCCCTTGGCTACAATGTGGCAGTGCCATAGCATGCCACGTGGTGGGCCAAAGCCCAGCCCGTATCCAGGCCCAACCGGCCCAGTTGGACCCGGCCTATGTTGACCGTTGACTGGTCAACGTTGACCGATTGACCGGGCCCACATGTTAGCGACATAGAGACTCTAGACCCACTTGTCAGTGGGTGACGTCATGACGACGTCACACGGGACCCACCTGCCAGTAACAACACAGCCGAGGTGACGTCATGATGATGTCACGATGACGTCAGCTACTGACGTCAGCAGCTCTGGCCCCACCTGTCTGTGACTGATGTCACGGTGACGTTGACTCGCCGTTGACTTGGCATTGACTTTGACCGGACCCACATGTCAGTGACCCAGGAGCCCCTGGTCCCACCTGTCGGAACTGATGACGTTGATGACGTCATGCCGACGTCAAGATGACGCCAGCGGGACCCCACCTATCAGCTCAGAATCGAGATGATGACGCCATGCTGACGTCTTGCTAGCGTCAGCATGCCACGTGGACCAGCCACAGTGTGACACTTGTCAGCCCAGGATTAATTCAGCCTTATCCCATTTTCAGAAATTGATTTAATCTTCAAAAATTCATAACTAATTCATACGACCTCAGAAAAATATGAAACCAGGACCAAAATTCATCTAAATCGAGCTCTACACAATGAACCCATGTTTGAGTACATTTGGCTCTTTTGAATTTTCATTGCTTCTTTGTGTTATACTATAGACGTCGCTAACGCGACTATAATACGATCGTTTGCAGACTCGGAGGAGAACCAGACGGACAAGGACCGAGAGTACCATGAGGAGTACGGAGACGACAATACTGAAGGTGCCATATCCCACCCAACCTCGTAGCACCTATTACGCATGACTAATATAGAACTGCTATTGCTTTACTTTATTATTATATTCACACTATGATAGGACTTGCATGGTAGTATGCTTACTTGATGGCCTACACCTTGACGCAACCTTACCCCTGCTTACCCTGCTATTAGGTTAGACACACGCTTGCTGCTATATTTCATTGCTTATTACTTCTACTACGCTTTTACTATATTGATGCGTGGTGGAAACTTGTGTTATCTGGACCATGGGGAGAGTGCTGCGTGTGTGACTTGGGTGCGTGGAGGGTGAGGGTTGTGTCGACCAAGTTGGAGTATACGACGAGCCTGGGGCAAGTCTTACCGTGGGGTGCTACCTGGGCACCCCTGGAATGGATACCTGTGGTGGGTAAATGGTATATGAGGTGGCCCTAGGTGTGAACCTGTGATGGGAGGAGCCCTGAGTGGAGGTGCTGTGGTGGCACGGTAAATGGAAACCCTGATGAAGACATTCTGGCTTAGTCATCCCTAAGAACTTACTAGTACTCAGATTCATCGGGAAGCCTTACGTACCACTTGCCCTATAAGGTGCGGGACGGCCGGACTACTTGGTAGGATATTGCCACTACTGCTAGGTTGATAGCGGACAGTGCGAGGGAGGTACGGGGCGCGGAGGATTTCCCCCACACCCTTCCGAGACTTCATGGAGACCTTGTGGACTTGGCTCATGACTCACAGTTTCAGCCACTCCAGACTAGACTTGGGGTGTACCAGGGCTGAATGGTAGAGTGGCATTATCGTAGGCTAGCAAGTGGGCGGAATCAGCCCAGTTGACGACGGTCAGCGAGGAAGACGGATCTTGTGGTTATGTAAAACCTCTGCAGAGTGTATGGTTGATCGATCGATACATATGCCGACTTGTCGGCTATGGACCTTTCCTGGGTTTCGCTTAAACTAGATAGTGAGATGAGTCCTTCTCTTCTCTCCCTGAGAGTGAGTGTTCGGACGTAGCCAGGGGCTACGGGCCTTGAGACAGTGCCGAGAGGGAGTTGGCCTGTTGACTGAGCGATGGTATGGTTGTGATGTGGAGATGGTGGTAAATCGATCCCAGGATCGAAACCTGGCTCTGGACGGAAATAGGGTGGAATGGGTGTGGGGATAGTATTAAAACTTGACCAACTATTATTATATACTTGATATGCTAATACATAGGAAACCCTAACTTTATAGGTTCCTTTTGATTATATCCAACTTACATCCAAGTTCCACAAAGCAATACTCATAGGGTGGGAGTGGCCAGTATAAATCGTACTGATAAATTTTGGCACACAGGTTCTGCTGAGGAGTATAGCTCCGAGGAGTTTGACGGTTGAGGGGTTCGTTCCTACGCTCAAGTTTAGCGATCTTATCTTCAAGCTGTTCTGAATGAATGCTACTTTTGATTCCGCCAATGCGGCGATATAATAATTTATGTAATTTCGCATTATTTGTACTCTGATATTATTGTTGTATGGATATGATATTCGACCGGAATTTAGGTAATATGATCTACAACGGTCTTGTTACATTTCGACTCTGTGGATTTCCTTTCGCAGAAATGAGGTCGTTTCAGTAAGTTTAACAGAAAGAAAAGACACGCGTATGCATCATCCACACGTTTAACCAAAGATTAATGAAATTTTGAAGCATGTTGATCGGCTGACTCCAGTCTGACCAGAAAATGGGAAAAAAATTGTGATATATTCCTAAATGTTACCGAACAACTTGTGCTTGATTCAGGATTTCAGGTTACCAACACGGGCTGGAAATGTGAATACACAAGTTCTGCCCATAAGTTCTCCCAGTTTATCACACTGTATCAATGCCCTGAAGGAACACCAGCATGTTCGGTTGGCTGGTTCATATCGTTACTGGTTCGTTTATGTGAGAGAGAAGTACTGCTGGCTGGTTCTGATGAACAGTGTTTTTGTGAGGGGGCTGGCCAGCCTAGCCCCAGCCAGCCAGCCCAGCGATCACGCTGCACAGCTTGGCAGTCACACCTCAGACTTGTTCGATTCAATTCAAACTCGCATATGAACCGCTTGGTACACGAGAATAGAGACAAAAACATCTCTAATGTTACCGTTAAGAGGTTCGGAAGGTCTAAGATCTCGCTCCGCTCACTGCTGCATACGCTGCTCGCCTAATAAAAAAAACGAAATCAACTCCGCATGCCTCGCTTCGCTCCCGCAAGCGGCGTTCGACTGCCAGCCCTACCAGATGCGGCGTGTGGCTGCCTGCGAGTCATGGCGGCACGGTTGTCGGCCCTGTCAGGCGCGCAGCCGCCTACGAGTCGCGACGCTCGACTGCCGGCCGCTGCCTCCCTACCCTGTCGCGCAGCCACCGCCGAGCCGCTGCCTACAAGCACCGCCGGGCCGCTGCCTCTGGCGAACTCCACTTGTCGACGAGTCTCCATTCTCCAAGCAACAAGGAGATATTTGCACTGAAACTTCATCTTGCAAGCATCTGTTTCAAGTGTTTTAAATATTTCAGAGGTATGTTATAAATGTTTCTTACGGATGTTGCAAAAGTATATCAGAATGTTGCACGTGTTGCAAAGGTTGTACACGTACGTTGTAAGCTCATGTTCTCAATGTTTCATCTGTTTTTTTTCGATATATGTTGCAAATGTGTTTATATGGATGTTGCATATGTTTTCACACATATGTTGCAAATGTTTTATCAGGATGTTGGTTTCAAGTGTTTTTGAGGTGTTTTTGTAAGTGTTTCAGACGCATGTTTCATTTGTTTTTAGACGTATGTTGCAATTGTTGCATCTGGATGTTTCAAAACTAGATTGAGTGTTGCATCTCCCTCCTCGCCTTTCTGCCATCTTGCCTCGGTGTCAGGCGCAGGAAGGTGGAGGCGGTCCCCAATGGCGTGGGGCGGGCCCCACGTGCTTGCGGGCGGGCGCAGCAGGTGAGACGTGGGCGAGCAGGCATGAGACGCGAGACAAAGACGCAACAGCGTGGGCGTCCGGATAGGGAGCTAGCGTCTGGACGTCCGGTGCCCCCAAAACATTCACAACTTCAACCATGGATGATCAGTATAACTGTGGGGGTATGACCCCCGGTACCCATAGGACAAGACATGGGCCGCACCATCAGAGGTGGCCCAGCCCACAAGATCAAGACGTGCGGCGCACGACACTGGTCGGCGTGCACCGTAAGACTACAGGAAGATGTGATTTATTAGATATTATATAATACCAAATATGATAATTTTCTTGTAACCCTACCCCTCCAGAGCATATAAAGAGGGGCAGGGGTCCCCTAGTCGACATCCCCATACGAATCCTAGTCTTAGCTTAAGGCATCTCATCATACGCAATACAATACACTGAAAGATACATGACGTAGGGTATTACATCAAGCTGACGGCATGAACTTGTCTAAATCGATGCCTCTTGTGTTCTGTGTCACCATCTAGTTCCCTCACGCGCACCTCCACCGATTCATCTATTACCGTGGGCATACCCCTCGGTAGATTGCCGGACGTATCTTGTCGACAATAACCAAAATGGCTGCTGCTCAATAGTAAATAGATCCACTATTCCACGTGCCACATCAAGTAAAATGTCTGATCAAATGTATTACTCAGAAGTTATTTTGGCTTCTTGCAGGAAAATATTTGCATGCTACATTTGCATTTCAAGAACTGCCCGGATTCGACAAAATTATTAGTGTTAATAACAATTTACATTTACAAGTTTTATTAAGCCTACACAGGTTATGAACTGAGGAAGCCCACATCTTCCATTATGGATCTGAACTCTGAGTAATATCACTAAATTCAAAAAAAAAAAAAACTACGAGTTCGGAGATCTACATAAATTGGCAGCTAGTGCTATTCCATTTACATCAGCTGCAATTCTTTCACCACTGTGAACTGCATCTCTACGGGATGTGAACAAAATGCTGCTGCACCAATCATTTTTTTTGTCATGATGCTTCAGTAAACACTGTTATTATAAATTTGGAATGGTGACACTATTTGAATGGCCTTCTTGACAATAAAGAATGGTTGGCTCAAATCTGACCAAGACTGACAGGAGCATGACGACGATATCTGAACAACCTTCTTGGCAGTGGATCATCTCTGGCCAGGACTGATGGGAATATTGCTCAACTATCATTGAATTCCGGAGTTCGATATGTGCAGGAGAGAGGAGTTTTGCTTGCTTAGGTTCTGGTAAGCAGGTGTATCAGTTGTCCACGACAGCTTATGCAGTGCAAGGAGGTAGTGTGCCGACATACCCAAAACCAACAACAAGGAAAGCCGTGCCTTGAAGGAAGAGAAAAATGTAGTATCCCTTATTTGCAAGAAGCAAGTCATAGAAACCACACAGAAGTATGCAGGTTCCAACGAAAAGTTCTGAGCAGTGGTACCTGATATAGAGATTGTTTATAAGCATTTGAAGACACTAGAAAGTATGCCATTAACACTATGCACATTCTCATAAGTGCATAAAATCTACACTAGTTTTATGCTAGCTTTGAGAAACTCTTAATGATAATAGATAAACTTACCTCTCCCAAAATCTTGCTCGCCTCTTCACTAGCTTCGGAATAAGGGGCTCTGTTAGCTTAACATCTATCACCTTTACAGCATCTGATCCATTGGTGCCAGGCTTTGCCTTGCTGGTGTCGCCCAACTTCTCAGTGACAACCCACTCATTGACTCGTCCACCAGCATCCAGAAGACCACTTACTGCAGCTTTAATCCGGTGCAACGACATGACATTCTCAAACAGAACCCAGAGGATCACCAGGTGAAATGAACTGTAACGGCGAGAAGCTTTCAGGTCATCAGGTGTTAAATGATGAAACAACAATAGTGTCATTCAAAAACTTGAACCTTGGCACACTTATTACCTCGGTGTGCCAAGAGCCTTCAAGAGGGTTATCGCTGTCGGGACATAAACAACTCCCCAGAGAGGGATCTGAATCTCAGGGAGCAAAACAGACAAAGGGATCGCAAAGCAGTAATAGATGAATGTCACCGTATGAGCAGCAACCTTCCCAACGAAGAAGAAATCGTACCATAAGTGGATTTTACTCCACAGTGACACTTTCTACACAAGAGAAAAGGGCACACCAATCAGTCAATGCTGTGATATGTTGCGCTTGTAAAGGAAGTCTGAAAAAAAAAACAGACCTTGTTTTCTACAATCTCTACCATCATTTTCTTGAACAGGTTTGCCGGCCCACATGACCACCTATGCTGCTGAAACCGGTATGCCTTGAATGTGCTAGGTAATTCACTCTTGACCTAAGCACATACAGATGCAGTATCCTGAGGATTGTTAGATTCGTTTCTTGTTACGTTCTTGAGTTTCCTACAAGCAAGTAATGGAGCACCGGCATACTTTTATGTCACCGACGTAAACGAATTTCCATCCCTGCAGCATCGCACGGACAGCCAGGTCCATATCTTCCACTGTCGTCCGGTCCTTCCAGCCCCCGGCATCATCGATCGCTGAAATCCTCCAGACACCAGCTGTCCCTAAAAGATGAAAATTGCTCTCGTAAGGCCCCCAGTCATCAGAAAGGTTTAAGCTTCCGAATTCGATGCTAGAATCATGTATATGAGAGGACATGACTGTACCATTGAAGCCAAAGAATGAATACACTGAGGACCCTGCCTCCTGCTCATACTTGAAATGGTAGTCTAACGACATTTCTTGGAATCTTGTCAGCAGACACTCATCAGAATTAACTGCGCATATGGTTCAAAGACACTTAGAACAGCAAAAGTTTATCACAATATCATTTTTGCTAGTTGTTTTCAAACTAACAATTACAGCAAGAGGTCGCATCTGTACTAACCAAATTTCCAGCGAGTCTGGACGAGGGCAATCTCTGGGTTGTGCACGAGGAACGGGATAGTCCTCAGGAGAAAATCGGACTCGGGCTGGAAGTCAGCGTCAAACATAGCAATGTATTCGCAGTCTTTGACATATTCATGCTTCAATCCTTCCTTGAGTGCGCCGGCCTTGTACCCCTTCCGATTCCCCCTGACCTCGTACTTTATGTTAACGCCTTTGCTCTTCCATCTCTGGCATTCCATCTCCACCAAATCCTAGAAATGGGAACAGAGATAGATAAATACAGGGACTTGGTTACTGCTGGAACTATCGACTGGCATTGTCCTCAAGTGATGGTCACACAGGTCACTTGGTCAATGGTATTATATCAGAAGAATAACTCAAATTAAAACAGCATGCAGAGTGCAGAAGAGTTAACCATGCTCATCTCATCGACTCATTAACATATAAAAAAAATGGAGGCTTTAACCTACAGATACCACGGACGAATCGGAGGGCATCCGGACGGGCCAAATCGCCTCCAGCAACTGAATCAACTCGCTGTTGGAGCCGTCCACGCTCCACGAGCAAGACAGGCTTAGCTAGCAATCACGTGAACCAAATCCACAGGCGCCATACCTCCGACGGCAAGGCACCAGACGCCCTGATGACGCGAGTGATACCCTACCCCCGACGCCTGCCTGTGACGCCCTCGCCGGCATCTCCAGCGCACGCCGCTCGCCGGTACGGCCCCGGGACCCCGCAGCGCTCGCCGTCCTGCCATGACCGGCGCTGGCGGCGGGGCCTCGCCGGAGTTCGGCGTCTAGGGCGAGCCCATGACACGCTAACATTGCAGTATAGCCCACGTCCAGCCCAATACGTCTGGGGCACCCAAAAGGCCCATACCGGGACCGGGATTTGTGCGATTATACGGGTACCTAGTTCAATAGCATCTTGCGGCCCAGTAGTCAACTTCATGTTTTGATTCCGCAAGTTTATGTTTTGAAAAAAAAAAATCCCGATTGAATTTGAGAATCCTCGCACGAATTCAGGGAAATTGAAACATGGCTCGCCGGAGTAAGATTTTTATCGTTGTCGGTTGTTCGGTACCGCTACTTTAGGAGCACTTTTTTCATCATTATTCCTACAGCAATTTCTCTTTCCCTACCGGCGATGTCGGTAGTTCGGTGGCTGCTACAACTGCTCCACCCCGGCCGAATAACCTCATCCGACATTAAAGGAGATGGGCTTGAAGAAACAAACAAGCAAGCAAACAGTGATCGATTTTAATGGTGACCAGGGGTAGAAGAAAAGGTTCTTGTGGGGGGACAGCCTTCCTGCATTCCATGTGAGGCCTCGCAGCGAATCGTGGCCAGTGCCCAGTGCCCAGTGGGGCTTGGCATCAGCCGCATGGCACGAGAACGTGCACGATCGAGCCAGGATCAGGATGCCTTTGCAGTCAGGATTGCAGCACTTGCACGGCTTACATTCGTGGCCGTGCCGGCCGAGATCCCGCCGCACGGCAGGCGCAAGTGGGAAAAAGAAGATCGTTCCCCGGCGTGGTCTGTGCTGTTGTTCTTGCCACGAGCCCACGACGCGACGCAATTATTCTGTGCCTCGCCGGCGGCGGTTGACGTGGACCGCTGCGGCGCTGCTGCCCGCTCTAGCTAGCTCGTGCTACCGGTCGCCGTCCGAGCACGTACGAACGAACAGGCACGTCTCTTTCATTCCCCGGTCCCCGGACGCCACGCACCGATCGCCGTGCCATGCCATACGCGCGCGTACGCAGCGTATACATATGGCTCAGGCCGGCCGGCCGGCGGTGTCGTCGTCGCTGGCGCATGCATGCCGCTGCCAGCCAGCAGCAGCCTGCAGGACGGCCGTCTCTGGTTGGGCTGGGCTGAAGGATGGATCTCCACTCATTCCGATCCTACCCGAGAACGACGGCTTGGAGCGCGGGATGTAAACAAAGCACGTCGGCCTCGCTCGCTCGCTCTTTATTATTCTCCGTTTCCCTTCGTGCACATTTTTCTTTGTCCTGTGGTTCTGTGGCAGAAGAAAAAGGATGGAGATCAACCACGGGAGCACACGAGCAGGAAGAACGTGGGGGTGCGACCGTACATTATTCTGGCTGAGGCTGACCTCCGCTAGGCGCGAGTTGCATGTGGGAAAAAAAATCACGAGACCCAACTGGTCGACCAAACCCACCGTCACGTTGGATGGCTCGACGCGCTACACAGGAGGCGGAGCCGTTGGATGGCTTGGGGATCCGTGCAGCCACACGAGCTCCTAACAGAGAACGTAACTGTCAAGGAAAAGGCAAGTTCCAGCTATCTTGAGAGCAAGTATAATAGCAGGCTGCGGCAGAATGCTGAGGTGAAGGAGAAAGAAGAGGAGAGAGAAGAGAAGATATGGCAAAATGCTGATATGGCAACGTAATTAATGAAGAAAGAGAGCAAAAATCATAGAAATGGTTTCCTCATGAAGAAATCAGGTCTACTCTTGACCCAATGTACCAAGAAACCATGAAATCGCCATTGGGGAGAAACCACCAGTTTCTAGGGAGCTCGTGTCGCACTCCCATTGGAGGAAGAAGATAGAGTTGGGAGAGAGAAAGAGAAAATAATTATTACTCATAGAAACCATGGGTTGGAAAGCAGTACTTTTTGGTGCGGTATCCTATGTTATAGAAACTACTAGTTTCTTTCATTGAGACTGCCCTAAGTTTACAGCCGGCTTAGACACAAGAACCGAGAAACTTTGTGAGAGAGACAAGTAGGTCATGTATTAATAGTGAAAACTAACTACTATATGGGTGGGCTGAGAGAATGCTGCAAAGATCCAGTCGGCTGTATTATTATTAGCCTTGCTCTGACTAACACTGCTCTTGGCAGCACGCATCGTCATGCATGTGTGTCACGTGCTGTGTGTAACATGCCAATATATTGCCATTGATGCACAAGCACAATCTTTGTTTTGCTTGTGCGTGCATCGCTACCCAAAAACGACGGATGCACAAGGACGCCGCCGAAATTAGGAGAATGAGGAGGCAGGCAGTGGCCGGGGCGGCTAACGGCAAGGTCACGCGTGGAGCGGTGGATGATACAACGGTAAAGGTGGGATTTACGTGTTGAGGGGCGTTGAGCGAGGGACAGGGGCGCTGCTGAGCAGGCCGTGAGGATATCTCATTGGACAGGGAGGAGGAGGGCGTCGACGGCGAGAGGTCACTTATAAGGTAGCTAATTAGGGTTAGAGAGACGGAGGATCAGAAGGAGCGGAGGCTGGGCAACTACGAAAGATGAAGACACGGATTTTTTTTAGAAAGAATGGTAAAAGTTTTGCCGTAATTTTTATTAAACAAAGAGGGGATCATACCTGTATCGACATGCGCGTTAGGAATGCGCTCCGGTGCACATGCTTAAAACTGTCTAGGAATCTCGAGCCTGCCTAGTCTGTAACTAAAGTCTAAAGGTGCTTTTGCCTACTTCCATCATTGTGTGTTTTTTTTTTTAAACAAACCTACTTCCATCATTGTCATCAAGTCAGGGGGAAAGGCTCAAAAAATGTCCTAAGCCGCTAAGCATATACTCCTATATGGTACCATGGTCCATGGACGGAACAATGCATGACTGGGCCCGGCCGAGGTATGTGGACCACTGGCACTGGCTTGCCGCATAGACTTGCATTGTTCGATGGGGTCCAGAGTACAGACCGATCGAGCAGGTGGGGGCGCCACAGATCCGTCTGGTTGGTCCGCGTGCATAAGCTGTCGTGCATGTCGTCGTGTCGTGCTTACTATTGCAGTTTTCCTTGCGTTTTGGTACGTGTACGTGTACACGCTAGTGAACACAGACACAGCGGCCATAGCTCCGCCGCCCGCCGGCCAGGAAACGCGGCAGCCGGCGTTCCCCCGCGGACACGCTCCGCGGTCCGCGCCATTCCGATAACTCTTTCTGCTTGGCATGTGGCCAGTGGCAGTAGGAACGACCAACCCGCACGTCTCGGGCGCGACCTGCTCGATCTCGGCCAGTGGGCGCCCCTTTTTTACTCCCGGAAGGATTTCTGGCGCGTTTCTGCGCCGGCAAGCAAGGAATCGCTCAAGTCAGAGGCGCATCCACATCCATCGATCGGCAGGCAGGCAGCCCAGCCCAGTACTAGGCTAGGACTGCCTACTGGTGGTGTGGTGCACTAGTGCAGCCGGCAGGCGTTGTCGCGACCGCGCCGGGACGGACGCTAGCTATGCCATACGCGCCAGGCCACCCCGAGCCCCGTCCGCCCGTCGCTCTCCGTACCCGTACGTACCTGGCCTTTGGCCTTTGCCTTTGCCGGTGGGGCGTGCGCTGGGGGCCGGGGGGCGGGGCGAGTCTCCGTCTCGTACTACTCTCGTGGCAGTGCGGCCCCTGGATCCACGCGCATGGGCTGTCCCCGGTGGGCAGGGCCGGCTTGCGTTGGGGCGCGCCGCTCCGCTCGGGCCCGGCCGTCTCATTGTGTCCGCTCCAAGCGTGAGTGCGGCTGTCTTTTCACTTACTTACCAGCCGTATTTTTTTTAGCTAATGAATAGTATTTTTCTCTCACGATAAATAACACGTAGTATTTTCAGCTATGGTTTATCAGTCAAGCGAATAGGACATTAGTAGCTATTGCGTCCAGTCGGCAATGACGACGGCGCCGACGTGTACACACCGGCGGGACACGCACACACTGATTGACTGACCCACTACTACTACGTAGCTGTCACCGTGCCAAATAATCCAGGGGGTCATTCTCAATTCTGATTACACGATGTACGGCGACGGGACGAACCGCGCGAGTGCCGCCGTGACGGCACGGTCGGAGTTTCCTATCCTACACTAAAATTGACTACCAGTCCGCGGTTTGCAAAAGGTCGGGGACTGAGACCTGAGAAAGAGAAGAGGGGAGCGGTCAGGTCGCCGGCGTACGGTACGTACCTTTACAACGGGGTCCGTGGAGTCGTCCAGCACCTGGATCACGAAGCGCTCCGACGGCCACTCCAGCGCACATGCCGCCCCGATCGACAGCTTGTACACCTTCGCCACCATCCATTCCAGCATGCACCCAGATTAATAAAATCGTCCATCAGTCACCACCAACATGCACGGTCAAAATAATCAGCTCAATTAATCCACTCTGCCTGCTACCAGCTCATCATGTCCACTACTAGGCGTCTACGCCAGCAAGCAATGTGCCGCGCCTGCGCTAGCTCACGCTCATCGATCGGCCACTCACCTCGCGCTCGTTGTACATGGGGATCTGCACCAGCACCACGGGGTACTTGGCTTCGCCGCCGCCGCCGTGGCCGCCGGACTCCTCGTCTCCCCCGTCGGCGCTGCCGGCGATGATGGGCTCCCAGTGGTACCGGAGGTGCGGGCCGAGCCGGAACGCCCTGACGACGAGGCACACGGCGCAGACGAAGAGCTTCTCCACCAGTATCATGACCGTCATCGCCAGCGACAGGAACACCAGGAGCCGCACCGCCGGCACGAGCAGCAGCGCCCGCGCGTGCGCCCACAGGGACGCGCATTGCGCCGCCACGGCCGCCCAGTCCACGCGCACGGGGAGCTGGAGCTCCGACCACAGCCGCGCCGCCTCCTCCGCGATGCCGGCGGCGAAGGCGGAGGCGGCGCTGCTGTGGCCGCCACCGCGGGCGGCGTCCATGGACGGATGGCTCCCTTTGGCGCGACCACGGCGGGACGGCCGGATCTTGGGCGGGCAGGGGCAGAGGCGAGTGAGGCAGTGAGCTAGTTCTCGCTGCTGTCTCAACTAGCCGGCCGGCCAGCTAGCAGATGGAGGAAACGGCGTGCAACGGCGCCGGCTTATATAGCTTGGACTGAGGCATATGGCGTGCTAGTGTAGTGGTGGTGGCGCCCGAGCCATGATGGGGACGCCAAGGACGAACGACGCTTTGCTCATATTTGGCTCTGGCCCGAGTCTCCTCCGATCCATGTGTGCACATGCCACAATGCCACATGCTCTTCTAGGCTGTGTTTTTTTATTCTTCCCCAAAGGAAGATGGACAGGATCTTGCAGGCTGCCTATAGGTGGAGGTGGGCAGGTTTCATCCCGGTTACCAGCTGGTGGTTGGTGAGATCAGATGGGTAAGCCGTGAGCGTAAATCTTGCATGGCCATGTGAGCTGATGGAGAGGGCGAGAGTGAGTGGCTGAGTGTTAGACGACAGAGAGTGGTGAGTGGTCAGGGTATTTGGGGCCACTTGGTGCTGCCTGTACCATTGCTCATTGGTGTAGAAAAAGCGGAAGGGTATGGATGGAGGAGGAAAAAGAGGTGCTGAGATGGCAATGGCCAATGGGCAAACGGGGTGCGTGATTCTCCGCATCCATCGTTTGTCTGGCCAGCGCTAGCAGCCTGTGTGCGCCCGTGCCGGCCGGCGGGTATCCGCCAGCCACGCGTTCTGTAGTGTGCACCCGGCTTGGGCGATTACGCGGCCGGCTTCGTCCGGCCTCGCCTCATCACGCGGCTGCCCGCCCGGCGGTAGCCGTAACGGAGACGCACCAGCGCGACCCACCCACCCACGCCGCCACGCGCGCGTGCGCATCGGTATACCATGCCGGGTCCGCACGGCGGCCCGCCGTGCTCAGCGACAGGCTAACAGCAAGCACACATGAATCAGTCAGGCGGGCAGCAGGGTGCCTTCAGGCTACTGCTACTCACTCCTGCTGCCGCAAACATGTGGCTTGTTTGCGTCTTCTTCTCGGTGTTTTCCCTCTCTCCCCCTGAAAATCGTTCCTCGGTCACGGCATGAACCTACGATGCGGCGAGCGAGGTGTCAGAGATCAGAGATGAGAGTAGTAAAAGCAAAAGAGGGTGCAGTGTGAATCAGTGACCGTCACAACTCACAAGATATGCTGCAGGAACAAGCCAAAGGAGACGAGCTGTAACAAGGACAAGAACAACTGGACGAAGGACAAGGCCATCACAATTCACAACCACAGCGAGAGACGATCGAGCGCTGCTCTGGTTGGCAACTTGTCCCCTCCTGGTCTCTCCAACGATCCGGAAATCGCACAGATCCGGTTCGTTCGCGTCAAAAGGAGTTGTTGGGCCGAGATCCAATCCAACCATCCAGGCCGCCGTAGGAGTACAACAGAAACAGATCCGAAGCGGCTCACGGAGCTTTCTCCAATCATTATGCTCCAAGACATAAACTGTAGTGTACTAACCTCTGAAGGTACTGTATATAATTAAGAACAGACTGAACGTTGATGCCGCCGTCTGAAAGCAGCTTCCAGCCCAAGAGTTTTTTACTCACAAGATGCACAGAAAAAAACTAGGGCAGCATCCAAAGGATGAGAGGAGTTTGCTGCGAGAAGCTGCTTTCTGCTGTGTCCCCTACAAAGGGAGCCGGTGATGGTGAATGATGATGCTGAAAACAGAGTGCTGTGCCACGTTGATGAAACTAAGTCGAGTTAGTGAGTATACGTTTCTCACAAATTAAGTTGAATTTAGTATTCAAGTTTTATACTCGTGTATGTATGTTACCCTCCTCTGCCTACAGTGTTTTTTAATGTGTAGCTAGTCTACACTGAATATCTCGGGAAAAAAAGAGAGAAGTGTTTATGATGAACTCCTTTTGTTGAACGAGCTTGTGTACAGAAATGGACCAAAGTCATTGGGGGCTCAGTTCAAGAAAGGAATTCAAACATGTTTCTTGAACGAGCTTGTGAACAGAAAAAAAATGTAAAGAAAGGTGTGCGTGCGTGCATTAACACCACACATCCAAATAGCAGCCACACGGACCCTTCCCAACCATAGCAATGCAAAGACCGGCAAAAGATCCAAGAGGCAGACAAAAAAGGACTAGCGTTGTTTTAGAAGTCGGGAGGGGAGGCCCCTACCTAATTGTATTAAAATTGCAACTGTACAAATGCAGGTTCAAAGCCATGAGGCTCACAGAAGCGACAAAAGAAATACAAGAGAAAGAAGCTACAGAAATGCAGAAGAAAAAAGCTACAAAGAACAAGAGAAAGAAAATGCAGAACTATAGAAAAAGAACATAACTGAACAAATCATGAGAATCCTAGAGTTCTCAAAATGATGGCCCACTTGCTCTTGCAGCCGGTTGTTCCCAGATTTGTGTCCATGCCTTGATAGCCAAACTCCTTGGTTCCTTCTTTGTTCTATGTTTCCAGAGTTGTAAGGTTTGCTCTACATTATCTTTGATTGCTGAGCAAGGTGTTGTAACATTGTCAAATACTCTTCCGTTTCTTGCCAACCAAATATTCTAGGCTATTGCAATTAAAATAGTTGGAACTTCAGTACCATCTTGTACCAAGTTATTCTGTTCTGTTGTCATTAGAGCTTGAGCCATGTTTGTGTGCTAATTTAGTGTGAATCCTAAGGCTGTCCATACTTGGGATGCATATGTGCATCTGGAAAGCATATGTTCAATATTTTCCTCTTCATTACAGCCATAGGGGCATAAGGCATTATCTATGATATTTTTCTTTGCTGGGATATCTCTTGTCTTCAGTCTTCCCTTTGCTGTTTGCCAAGCGAAGATCTTACATTTCTTGGGAGCTAAAGATGACCAAATATCTTGCGCTATTGGGCACTGGACTCCTCCAAAGGTTAGCATGAAGTAAGCTGTTCTGACCGTGAATTCCTTAGTTGGTCCAAATCTCATCTCTCTTGTATCTTCAAGATCCGTTAGCTGAACACTATCCAGTTGATTTAGTAACTGAAATAGTTCGTGTTCTGCTCTTCTAGAAGTTAAAGCTCCTGTACGAATTTGCCATCCCAAATCTGATTTGCAGTCTTGGACGGTGACATTTTGGTTTAAAACATGTGAAAACAAGTGAGGGTCTTGTCAAGCTAAGGGCTTTTTATTAAGCTAACTATCCAACCAATAGGCAGTGTTGTTCCCTTTTCCCACTGTTAAAAAGGACTAGCGTTAATGGCGAGCAGTGTCTCGATCATACAGTACTAGTAGACGTAGCCGCACACATGGATAGATACAGTAGTTGAAGACTGCTGCTGCTGCTGCTGCGACGTCCAGGTCCAGGTCATCTATTCCAGGCCCATAGCTCGTGCTGTGGACGCTGCAACTAGAGCTGTGGGCTGTGGTCCTCGTGATTTGGCAATGCAAAAGCTCACAAAGTTCCTCGATGCGCAGAGGCAGTCCATCGCCATGCAAGCAGCGAGATGACGTTGGGTCAGCTCGATCGTCGTCCCAGGCCAATCCCCAAAACAAAACACTCGGTGCGGTCGGTGGTAAGGTGTAAATAAAGCCACGTCATGGACTTAAATCAATTACTGAAAGAAACGCGATGACAAAGCCAACCTGCACTAGCACTAGTATTCAGAATGAAGTCCCCGTTGCAGCTTGCTTTTCCTGAATGGCAACGCCGAAACGCCTAAAATGAGCATATACAAATGTGCTTTCCTCACTAGTAGAGAACAGATTTTAGAACGATGTTCTAATTTAGCATTAGCCTCGGCATTTTTTATCGTCGGGACTAAAAGACCCTTTAGTCCCGGTTCGTAATATCAACCAGGACTAAAGGTCCCTGCCCAACGGTCGTCCGCGTGGCAGGGATCTTTAATCCCGGACCTTTAGTCCCGGTTGGTAATACCAGCCGGGACTAAAGGTTTTAGTCCCGGTTTGTGTGATACCCCGGAAATAAATATTAATCTTTAGTCCCGGTTTGACCATCTAACCAGGACTAATTATGCGAGCCTATACAATGGCTCATTTCTTCCTCCCCGAGCCCGAGCCATTCCATTCAAACTCACTGTCTCTGTTCTTCAGCTTGCTGTTGTTCTTGCTCTCTTCTTGCTCTCTCCCTCTCCATTGGTGTTGCTCTTCGATTTTGGAGGTAACAAACTTAATCCCCTTATGTTTTATCAGTAGCTTATCTTATTTTGCGATGTAGATACATGTGTAACTTTATATGTTGGACTTTATTATGATTTTATATGTCATTTTAGCTCAAAATCACATGATGATTGGAATATATGTTTGGATAAACAAAAGTTAAATTAGTTCATCAAAATCACGCCTCGCTCGTCCTCGCTGGAGCACGCGCCATCCTCTTCCCCGGCGTCTTATGTGATCTTAGAATTAATTTTTCCATGAAATGAAAAACTTAGAAAATAGTTAAAAAATTATAGAAAATCCGTACTAGTTGAACTTGCGGACCGTGATCATCTCGACGAGCATTTTCTCTGCCGAGCGGTAACGGACGTCAAGGAGGAGTTTTGATTCTACGAGGGAGAGCGGCAACGGTCGTGGAAGACCGTGTTCCCTTTCTCGTAGAATCGGAGCTCTTCCTTGGCCAAGTACGGTGCCGTTCGGTGGAGAAATGCTCGCCGAGATGATCACGTAAGCAAGATCAACTAGTACGGATGGTTATTTATTGAAACATGTTTTTGAGCTATGTGATTTCTATGTCATTTTTAACTCAAAATCACATGATGATTTGCATATATGTTTGGATAAACAAAAGTTAAATTAGTTCATCAAAATCACGCCTCGCTCGTCCTCGCTGGAGCACGCGCCATCCTCGTTCTCGCTGGAGCATTTTCTCTGCCGAGTGGTAACGGACGTCAAGGAGGAGCTTTGATTCTACGAGGGAGAGCGGCAACGGTCATGGAAGACCGTGTTCCCTTCCTCGTAGAATCGGAGCTCTTTCTTGGCCAA